TTTTTTTTTGCTAAACTTAAGTTGAACTGATTCATTTATTTATTTTTATTTGCTAAACTTAAGTTGAATGAGAAGCGTCATACCATAACTGAATAATATCGTTCTTTTATTCAAGAACGATTTGTTTGAACAGTATACCACAATTGCAACCTAGACTGGTACTGATGCTCCCAACCCACAACCGATTGATCTCGGTAACGGAACCACATGTTATTAATAGGCGGTAATGGACAATCATCAGTCAAATCTAAACGAATGTAGTTCTACGGTACCAAGATGGCAAATGGCAATCTCACGACATGGTCCTCTAGCCAATGATCGTGCAGTGAGAGGCAACACTGTGGTGCTGAATAAGTTGTGCTGCCCACCGTTTGGACCAGAGCTCAAATGAACGACAACCACATTAAATAGGGTCGCAACGGCATAGAGGTCCTGCGGAACTTCGAACCAGTGAGTCGATCCACAAGGGCCTCTGGCCCACCTTACGCGACGGAGTCCGGCCTCGATATCTCTAAAATAGATGTACTCGTACAATTCAGGGTGGTTGTCGACCTCCTTCGCAATGTTTTCTCTTGCATCTTCCCAGTACTTCTGATGACCATACATGTGACTCGCGATGACCCGAAATCCGCAGTTACCATCCGCATCCACATTCAGGTAACTCACTATGTAGTCCAACATATGCCAGGGGATACTTTGCCACAATGAAAATCCAAATATATTTGTCGGTCTAAACTCTGCAATAAATATCATAATAATTTCACGTCACCATTTATATAATCATATAAATACTTTAATTAACGCTCAGCCGTATTTAAAAAAAAAAAAATGTATGACCTTCATCCCCTTGTGACTGTTGAGAAGACGAACTTGTCTGTCCACGCGAAGAAATGGTCGTACGGCTCGATTTCCGACCTCGCGATTTTTCGTTGTACTCAAAAGCAGATGGTTTACGCTTAGTTGAATTAGTTTTCTTAGGACGACCTCGCGGGTTATCCTTAACCTCAGGTTCCGCATAATCCTGTTGGTCTAGGTAAAGATGACTGTACATGAACTGATTCACGTACCGCATCGTCGCGGGATCGCGGGTTTCAACCTCGGTCACAAGCGTCTGAAAGAACGCCGCATCTAACCATGCAGCGTTGCTCGCCTGACTCGGATGACCAGTCCCTACAAGTATACGATAAAAAAGTCAATGAATTAAAATAAATAATGTATTTTAATACAAAATTATAAATAAAACATTAATTTTAAATTACCTGGCTCTAATATCTCGAGCGTTCTCCAGAACTGGTGAATCATTCCGAGATCAATTGGAACGTCGAAATCAGCTGCGTTACGGAGGAGACAGGCACAAGGAAGTCTATGAGTGAGCTGCAATACACAACCGCAACTAGTGTAAACATCGGTGTCCAACTTGTGCATCCTCGTAAGCTCAGCGTCCAATAAACTCAGACAGTAATGCGAGACCCTCAGTATCACGCTCGCGAAACGGATTCCCTTATACCGTGTATTCTTCTTAGATCTCGAGGCCTCAAGCGCCGTCCTGATAATACGTTACATAACGTTATATTATAATTAATTAATGCAGTAATATAATAACGCATTTAAAAATTGCAGTAAGTACTTGATTTCAGTCACTTGATTATCGATATGCTTATTAATCTTCTGCCAAACCGTATCGAGCGCGCCGGTGGACGTCTGAAGCCACTCCTTCAACGCAGAATGGGCACTCTCCACCCTACAGGAAGTTGTGTTTCCAAAATGTGTCACTCGGTTGGTCCAAGCCTTCACAAACTTCTCGCGGTGCACTAACCATGTGCCCTCCACATACCGTATCACCTCTGCATTGTTCGAATATTTTGCGCGCAGCTCGGCAACGGCATCGTTGTAGGCATCGAACGTACTGGCCTCTGCAATCGCCTTCCACGTACTGTGCGTGAAAATCTCCGAGAATTTTTTATTCTTCCCAAATAGGTGGTAGGTTCTGGCTTCCACATCCTTGTTGATGTGCCACGTGCAGAGTAAGTGGGCTGATTCAGGAAAATGCCTCTGAATAGGAGTGAGTAGACCCAACTCTCTGTCACTGACAACAACATAAGGATATACGCTTTGGCCTATCAGTAGTCTCAACTTCTCTAGAACCCAGTCGTAACTGGTCTCTTTCTCGTCCTGATGAGGGCATACGCAATTAGGAAGTTCTGGTTGCACGACGTCATCCCAATCATCTCGACCAACGACATCTTGTACCTGTGCAAATGTGACCAAGAAGACAAAAAATATAAGCACATAAATATATGCGTCAACACTTTTAAGATTCATACTAATAAAGTATTTATAAAGTAACATACCTGTTGGTTTTATACGTGGAATCTATACCGACATACCAGTGATATGTCCGGAATAGATTGATCGACGCAGGATGGGCCATGAATATATGCGTCAACACTTTCGTGTTCGGATCGGATTCTACATAAACTATATACTCGCTGCTCACGGCCAAATGCATAAGCTGAGTAGGAACGTCTCTACTGTCGGAACCCTCTCTCCGCAGCTTATCTCTAAAGTTATATACCTGTCATCGATTAGCGTTAATTATAATGATTATTATGATTTAAAACAAAAATTTTATTATATTAATAAATAAAAAAGTATATTAATGCGATTAATTTGATAAAAAAATTATTAACTATCACAATAATAATACATTAGTAAATATAATAAAATTTATTAATTATTACAATAACTTTTACATATAAAAAATTACTAATTATCATAATTAACTTAAAAAATTTAATTAAAACATATATTACAAGATATAAATATATATACCTGCCGCACATGAACGTTGTCTCCCGGATTCTTTTCCTTCAGCGCGGCCATAATTTTTTTCGGGGCCACCTGAGCGTCCGTCATGTCACGAACAATTCTCTTAGATGAAGCGCTGAGACTGCTCAACTGGCTATGACCCTCAGGATACACAGCAAATGCATGGTTATGGTAGCCTCTCTCTTCATTGCTACATCTACAGATCCTCCAGTATGGAACGCCGGACACCTTTTTTACTTTGATCTCAAAATTGCAGCCGCACTTATTCGTTTTTGTCCTTCTAGAATTTCCGCCTGTGCCTCTGTACCGTTCGCCTCTATGGCACTTCAAAAGTCTGACCGTTTTCTTTTTGTGGCTCAAAATAATTAATAGGAAACCATTTAGCATTGCCTGATGTTTTGCAGCTTCAATAGCCTCCTGAGCACTATTATAGAATGAACATGTATCGAAACGCAGACTGTAATCAACACCATCTCCTCCAAAATCTTCCCATGACTCCTGCTATATAGTACAATATTTTTATTTTTAGAACATGTTAAATTAAGATAATTAATTCTACGATGTAACATAATAATTTGTAACTCGTAACATGATATTATCTAACGTTCAATTAATATAATTTGTAACTCCTAACACGATCACGATAATATCTAACGTCCAATTTATATTATAATAAACATGTAACACAATAATTTGTAACTCTTAACACGATACTATCTAACGTCAATTTATAACATAACTAAAACTAATATATAATGTAATAATTTCTAACTCGTAACACGATAATATCTAAACGTCCAATTTATATATAATCAACATGTAACATAATAATTTGTAACTCCTAACACGATAAACGTCCAATTTATAGCATAATCAAGTCTAAAATGTAACATAATAATTTATAACATAATAATATAGTCCAATTTATAACATAACTATTTCGAATAAATAACATAATAATTTAAAAATAAAAAATAAAAAATTACTGCCGGCCGGCCGAACCGGACGGACCGGTTCCGACCGGCCGTCGTTTCCGGACGGCTTTCTTGCCGTCCGGCCGGCCGGTTCGGACACGGACGGTCCGACCGGCCGTGCTTTGCGGACGGCTTTTAGCTCGTCCGGCCAGCCGGTCCGGACGGCTTAAAGACCGTCCGGTTCCGGCGGCCGGACGGGCTAAAAGCCGTCCGGAACCGGCGGCCGTACACGTATTTTTTCGTACCTCTGAATTTGACGACATTTCACCGTACATTTTTCTCTGAGATGTTTAGAAAAAATGAGAAGGGCAAAATTGTCCAAGGAGGGCGGTGAATAGTAACGCCCATTTAAATGCCCATTAGAATTATGAACAAAAATAAAATAGGATGAAGAATTATGACATGCGTAACCTCTGGCAATCGTGTTCCGCTGATTTAGGCACTTGATTGAAATAACAAAATAGATTTCTCCACAGACTAGTAGTATGTGTGAATTTAAAATATAATTAGTCATCATTGCCATGCTAAAGTTGTTTCGTGTTCTCATAGAGTAAAAAGAGCCTAAATGCTAGTTTGTCGTCGAGGATTAATCAAAAGATTGTTCTTCTCGGATAAGCACGAGATATTATTTGTTTTTTAAGTTCTAAAACCAAAGTATAGTTAAACTTTTACTATAAATTTTATGTGATTCTTCCACATTGATTCTTTTAAGATTTATTACTAAAATTAACTAAAACAATCTAACAAATGAGAAAAGGTTGCGTGTATTTCTTCCCCAAAAAGCATTTAATTCTTTTTCCCCCACCATTTTTTTTTTACTTCTAATAATTTTTTTAAATAATTAGATCGAAAAAAATCATGATCATAATCAGAAACAGACGGATTCTATTTTAAAGAATGATTAACGACGACAATTAAGGAACAAACCACAACTTTCACTCACGCGGAGAATCCACACATAATTAGCTGTCATTCTTCATATTAATTCAACTATACTATTTATTATCCCATATAAGTCTGTATCCTTCAACTGTAATCTATTTTTCCAGTAATAAACAAGATATAATTATGAGGCCATGTTATTACATATTCATCTTCATCTCCTTCATCTACCTAACCTTAGCAGCAACAGCCAACCACCAAAGAGCAACCTTAAATGAGAAAACAGCTTGTCTGATTGTACACAACAATGTCCGGGCGGCCGTCGGCCTTCAGCCGCTCATGTGGAGCAAAAAATTAACAAAATACGCCCGATCATATGCTGAGAAAAGACGAGCCGACTGCCAACTTAAGCACTCGGGCTCGATTAGGTATGGGGAGAATATCTTCTGGGGCAGCGGCAAAAGCTGGAGCATGACTCAAGCGGCTTGGGATTGGGCCAGCGAGAATAAGTCGTATCACTATTCATCTAACTCGTGCGACTCGGGCGAAATGTGTGGGCACTACACTCAGATTGTTTGGAGGAATACGACTAAGGTTGGATGTGCAAAAGTGGCTTGTGACAATAACAAGGGCATTTTCATCACCTGCAACTATTATCCACCCGGGAATTATATTGGGGAGAGGCCCTATTGATGAGATTAAAGCGGATTATCATCGGGTGCTATATATTACATGTAGAAATGAAAAAGAAAAAAAAAAAAAGGTTATATCTAAATGTAGTAGCCCTTATTATTGATGATTCTGCAATCCCTAAAATAAATTATATTAGATGATTCTCTCATTCCTTGATTCAGAGCATCTCTAATGCTCAACAAATTTAGTAATTTCTTCACTTTAATCCTCCAATGCACATTGAATTTCGGAAGTCCCTCTCTAGGGTTTTGGTTCTCTCTTGAGATTTTAGTTCCATTCATTGGATTTAGTTGTCGGTGTCTTCTCTGGTATGTTTAGTTCCTCCATTGAGTCTTCTTGTTCTCTTCCTGAGGTTTGGTTGATCTAGGCTAGGTTTTGGGTCTTTTTCGTCGCGTTTGGGGTTCTTTTTTTCTCGTTGGGATTGGGTCAGCTTCGGCTTTGGTTGATATTTATTGTAGGGGTATGGGATTTAGTTGGGTTGTTAGGTATGATTCCTCTCTTGCATAGCTTATGGTGTATGTGGTTCTACCCAGTAGGTTGCCTTTACCTATTTTGATGCTTTTTGAATTGGAGCTTCTGGGCTTTAATGCATTCATTTAGAATTGGTTGTGCCTGTGGCTGTGGCGATTGTGACTCTGATATATATTCTCTGTTTACCTGGTTTTAAGTTTTTGTGTGTTCTTTCTTTGTTTGTGGCTGTTTGCTATTCTTCGTATTTTCGTGCTGTTATTTGGTTGTTTTGATTTGGGTAGGTAGGGGTCGGAGCTATTTGGGGCGTGGGCCTTGTGAGGGGAGTGGTATTCTTGTAGTTGGAGGGTTGCTAGGGTGTAGTTTTAGTGTTCTTGATCTGAGTTCCCTTATGGAGCAAGAGTTGTCGGACAAACTCCTCAAATTCAAACTCTCTGATAAGGAGTCAGGAGTGGAGCTGTCTGTCACTGACATTGCCCCTAGTATTAAGGAGTGTCAACTTAGCCTTATTGGCAAAGTTTTCGGGGAGAAAAAATTTCAGTGGTTTAAAAACTACCTTGAGTAGTATTTGGATTACTAGAAAACCTTTTATGATTAGAAATTTGGGTAATAATCTATTTCAATTCTTATTCCAGTGTGAAGAGGATAGGGATAGAATCCTCATGGGTAAATCATGGTCCTTTGATGGACAATATATCATTATGAAGGTTTGGTGCCCTGGACCACAGGTTTTCTCTCCTGAGGAGGAAATTATAAAGATTTGGGTTCATATCCTAAATCTACCTCTGCACTGGATTTCTGAGGATACAGGATTGAAAATAGGTAGGAAAATTGGGTCTCCTATAGCTATTCAAATACCTGGATCTAATGGGCACATAGGTCAAATTGTGAAGGTTTTAGTTGAGATTAATTTGAATGAAGCCCTACCTAGGGGTTCTCTGATAAAAGTTGAATCTGAATCCACATGGGTGGATTTTAGATATGAAAATCTTCAAAACTTTTGTTTTTACTGTGGGAAAATTGGCCACTCTGATAAAAGTTGTTCCACTAAATCTGTGGATATTAAAAACAATGAGCTGAATGTGGGTCAGTATGGGGAATGGTTGAGAGCTAGCACTACCTTTTCAGGCTCCTCTAGAAGTACTCATTCTTTCAATAAGGGGAGCAATTCTAGTGAAAAAGATAAACAAATTAGAGCTGATCAGGTAGTTGCTACTAGTGAGGTGGGGGTTAAGGATAAAACTAGTGTGTCTTGTGGTCAGGACACCCTAAAGGAAGGGGAAAAAGGTAGCAATTACCTTGAGGATCCTCTGGCTGTAGTAGTGGCAGAACAGAATAAGGATGGTTCAGCTAAACTTATTCTGATTGAGGATACTCTTACTAAGAAACCCCCTCTCTCTATTGAGACTCCTATTGACTCTAATCTTGTGGAAGTGACTATACAGCCTTCACCTGTGATAGGTAAGGTTGCTCAGAAAAAAAAGGCTTCTTTCACTAGAAAACCTAGACATACCAAAGCAGAGTCTTTGGAGAATATGCAGGTGGATAGGGCTGGGAGTTCAGGGGTCAAGATAGGAGAGAAAAGCTCCCTTAAAAGGAGTGCTGAGATGTGTGCTGAGGGAAATGTGAGTCAAATGAATGAGAGTCAGATAGGAAAGAGAGTTAAGATATCTGGGGATGTTTTGTTACCTGAGGTGGAGGAAACCAGCCCTAACTGGTCCCACAGTTTCCAATGAAAGTGTCGGTGTGGAATTGTAGAGGTTTGGGAGGGCCCTCTACAATTTCCCAATTCAAGGAGTCCTTAAGGACCCACCACCCAGATTTTGCCTTTTTGTCTGAAACAAAAAAAAAAGAAAAATTTGTGATATCTATGTGTAGAAAGCTTAAGTTGCAGGATAAGTGGCTGTATGTTAGACCTAATGGTACTAAAGGGGGGATGTTCCTAACTTGGTCAGAGAATATCTCTTTGATTGAGGTTAGGAGTTTGGGTTTTTGTCTGGAAGTTGCTTTTAGATTTAGAGGGAGAGATAATGTGTTTTGGGCTATATTCATTTATGCTAGTACTGATAATGAGATTAGATCTAGACAGTGGGAGATGCTTGTAAGGCACAGTCTCACTTGGGGGGATTGTTGGTTTTTGTGTGGAGATTTTAATGATATTCTGGGGTCAGATGAGAAGAGAGGGGGGTGAGAAGAGAGGAAGCTAGTTTTGCTAGTTTCAGGGGTTTTGTTAGGTCCATAGGAGCTGTGGAGGCTAGTACTATTGGTCATCCCTTTACTTGGTCCAACAATAGGAGAGGTGATTGCTTTGTGGAGGAGAAATTAGATAGGTTTTTGTTTTCTCCTAACTGGTTCTTTCAATTCCCTAATTCTGTGGTTAAGCATATTACTCTTCTATCCTCTGATCATTGTATGTTACTTATGGACTGTTTGCCTGAGTTTTTGCCTGTTAAGAAAAGATTTGTTTTTTATGCTAACTGGATTTCTATAGATGGGTTTAATGATGTGGTAGAGGAGGCTTGGAATAAGCAAACTTCTGGATTTGCTCTTTTCAGTATACAAGAAAGGCTGAGAAATGTGAGAATGCAGATTCTTAATTGGAAAAAATCCCACAGCTCTCAAGCTAATCTTGTTATTGAAAAGTGCAAGGACAGATTGAGTCAGCTTAGAGTTTTAGGTGGTGACAGGGATTGGGGGGAATGGATTTATAATAAGCAGGAGTTCAATTTAGCCTACAAAAATGAGGAAAATTATTGGAAACAAAAGGCTAGGGTTCATTGGCTTCAAGGGGGGGATAGAAATAGTAAGTATTTCCATGCTTGTGTCAACCAGAGGAGAAAACTGAATAGGTTAGATGGGTTGTTAAGATCTGATGGCACTCCTTGTGTGAATTCCCAGGAAATTCTTGCTGAATTGATTGCTTATTTTGAGAATATTTTCAAATCCTCTAATCCATTGGATAATGTGTGTTCTTTGGATGGTATTGCGTGTAACATTACTGAGGATATGAATGCTGTTTTGGTGAGGAAGATTGATGAGGCTGAAATTAGAACTGCTTTGTTTGATATGGCTAAAGATAAAGCACCTGGTGCTGATGGGTTTACTGCTTTATTTTTTCAGCATTCTTGGCCAGTCATTAAGCATCATGTTTGTCTAGCTGTGGATAATTTTTTTGTTAATGGTCAAATGCCTAAAGGATTAAATCATACTGTGATCACTTTGATTCCTAAAAAAAAGAATCCCTCTTCTGTGGCTGACTTTAGGCCTATTAGTTTGTGCTCTGTGGTGTATAGGCTAATTGCTAAAGTTCTTGCTAATAGGATTAAACCTGTTCTCTCTGTGTGCATTTCTAAGTCCCAATCTGCATTTGTACCTGGCAGACAAATTCTAGACAATGTGATTATAGCTAATGAATGCATTCATTTCATTAATAGCAAAAGAAGAGGTAAGGCAACATATATGGCTGTAAAACTGGATATGGCAAAAGCCTATGACAGGGTGGAATGGGGGTTCATTGCTAGAGTTTGTAGGAAAATGGGGTTCTGTAATACTTTTATATCTTGGATTCTGGCCTGTGTGTGCTCAGCTTCATACTCTTTCAATATAGATGGAGTTCCTTTGGGTTTTCTTCAGCCTACTAGGGGGTTGAGACAAGGAGACCCTTTGTCTCCTTATCTATTTATTCTGGTGTCAGAGGCTTTCTCTTCTTTGATTAACCAAGCTTGCTGGTCAGGCCAATTTCAAGGCATTAGAATAGGTCCTCATGCTCCTAACATTTCACACTTGTTATTTGCTGATGATTCTATGTTGTTTTTGCAAAGCTGATATTCATCATGCTAATGTTATCACCTCTATTTTGTCTACCTATGGGCATGATTCAGGTCAATTAGTTAATTTTGACAAGTCTTCCATATTTTTTTCCAAAAACATGCCAGAGGAGTCCTGTCAGTCTATTTGCAATGTCTTGTCTGGAATCTCAAGAGTTCATTCTTCCAAGTATCTAGGGTTGCCCCTAGGAATTGGAAGAAACAAGAGAGAGACATTTGGCTTTTTGAGTGAGTGTGTTCAGAATAGAATCAACAATTGGAAAAACAAGTTCCTGAGTGAGAGTGGGAAGGAGATCTTGATTAAGGCAGTTCTCAATGCCCTTCCTACTTATATAATGTCATGTTTTAAGATTCCTATATCCATTGTCAAAAAGATTGTGCAGAATATTGCTAATTTTTGGTGGGGGCATAATGATATGGGGGGGAATAGGATACACTGGGTGGGGTGGGATAAGTTAGTGAGGGATAAGGATAAAGGGGGGTTGGGGTTTAAAGATCTCACAGCATATAATGATGCATTATTGGTGAAACAACTGTGGAGGTTTATTACCCAGCCAAACTTGTTAGTTAGTCAAGTGATTAAGGGGAGATATTTTTGGCAGACTAGTATTTTTGATGTAAAGCCTAAATCCCAAGATTCTTGGCTATGGAGAAGTCTGATTGGGGTTAGGAAATTTTTAGAATTGGGTATTAGGTATAAGGTGGGGGATGGGACTAATATTCCTATTTGGGACTCTCCTTGGGTTCCTTCTAAACCCCCTTTTCGAGCTCAATGTCATTTTGCAGATGATAGGCATAGGCTGCTTAGGGTTAGTGACTTGATGAGAGAGGGTAGAAGACAGTGGGATGAGGAGATTCTGTTTCAAACTTTTGAGCCTGAGACTGCTGAGATTATTTGTAAAATTCCATTATCTATTTCTGGGGGCCCTGATAGACTGATTTGGCATTGGCACCCTAAAGGTGAATTTTCAGTGAAAGAGGTCTATAAGGCCATAATGAGATGGAAGAATAATGATCAGGCTAAGGCTAGCTCAAGTAGAGATCCAGCTCTTATAGTTAAAATGTGAAGAACAACTTGGAAGCTGAACATCAAGCCCAAGATCAAGAACTTCCTTTGGAGGTGTTGGTTTGGATTTCTGAGTTCTGGAGATCAACTTTTGAAGAAAGGCATGGATATTGATTCAGTCTGTGCTATTTGTGGAGAGCAGAAGGAGGACCTGAACCACATATTATTTAATTGTCATAGAGCTAGGAATTGTTGGAAAATGTGTGGCTTTGACTGGGGCTTTCAATCTGAAGAGTTTGGTGTGTTCCATATTTGGTGGCTGCAAGTTTGTGGGGCTAAAAAGTTATCACTGAAGGAAGATAGACTGAGCTTATCAGCTTGTTTGCTATGGCAATTGTGGAAGGCCAGGAACAAGTGGGTGTACAAGGGAGATTGGGTTCATGAGAAACTGATTGTGGTGAGTGCTCAAAATGAATGGCTGGAGTGGACTGATACAAAATCTGGTAGGGACATTAGTGAGGAAGGACACTTGCAGGGACAATCTAATCGAGATAATTTTTTCAAGGAGGTAGGTCAGTCTTCCATGACTCTCAGTGCCTCACTATCTTTGGTTGGTGAAGTTCAGGTTGAGTGCTCTATTCATCAGATGGGGGCTGTTCAATTTCAATGGCAAGATACACTACAAGGGGCTCAGGAGGAGACAGAAGGATGGATAAAGGCCATTATATGGGGTTTAAATAAAGCCAAGGACCATAATTGTGGGAATTTCTCTCTTCTTCTTCATTCTCTTGAGCTAGTGGAGGACATTGCAGAAGGAAGGAGCAGCAGGGAGGAGATGAATCCTCAAATTGCGGACATTAGGGATTTGTTATCTCATTGTAATGCTAAAATTAGTACTATCTTTTAAGGTTTTTGTTTATGTTTTTGTGCTTCTTGTTTCTTAAGACTTATTGGCTTGTTGGCCAGTGTAGGGGTATGTTGGGGTATATCCCGTGCCGCTTGTTTCTACCTTGTGTAGTACTTGTATGGTAGTGGTCAGTTGATCACCGAAAGACTATGATTTGAGTTTTAATGAAATTGGTTGGTTGCCGTTTGAAAAAAAAAAAAAAAAATNGAAAAAAAAAAAAAAAATCCTCCAATGCACAATGTCATCACAAAAGTGATGAGGTGGACATAGTCAATGTATACAATTTAGACAAGAATGTGATTCATCCACATTTTTTTTTCACATTCTAGTCAACCAATGAAGAGAGGAGAGATAAATATTATTACCATTTTCAAACTATATAATTATTTAATTTATTTTGTTTCATATTTATTATTTTTTTTATTTGGTCAAGTGGACAATATAATATTGTATTTGATCGCATTGTGCATTGGAGATATTTTTATAGAATTAAAGTTGTGAACCTCACAATTCTCTTATGTGGTTCACAATCCATCTAATTAATTGACATTTGTCAAAATTTATGTAGTAACAACATTTATATATTGGAGATGCTCTTAGTCTCATATGTTTTAGAACATAGATATATAATCCTTTCAATGGTGAATTTTATCCAATAGTAAAACTTTTTCAATCCATACCATATAACATGACATATATGATACATGATCACTACAAGTTTTTAATACGTTAGATTAACATTATGCACTATACGTGCTTTGTCATATGATAATAACTTTTGTATGTCATATTGTTTAACATTGTGTATAATTTGGGTTGATACATAAATTTAGTTCTCGATTAGGATTGATAATATAATAATTTATTTTTAATTTTTAATTGAAT